GTAGGTGCTGGTAGGTGCTGTAGGTGCTGGTAGGTGCTGTAGGTGCTGAGCAGGTGCTGGGTGCTGGGTGCCTGCACTTTCCCCCTTGTGAAGAACTGATCTGAATATCACTATTTACCAAACCATTTGCAATTCATTTGCTTTCGAGTCGATGCATGAAAGAAACACCTGTATGCAAAATGAAATGCATGTGAAAGTCGAAAAAGAAAATTGTCAAGGCAATGTTTTACTATTGATCTGTTGCTTCTACGTTGATCTCTGAACGGTATTGAATCATTTGGTCTCAACCAATCATCCCCATATATCTCACCATGATACTACTCCTAAACACGAAATCATATAAATGACTGTTTTCTGCAAGTGAAATTGAACTTCAAATCAGTATCTAGATTACTTGAGAAGTAAATTAGCTGAGTAGGATCGCACTTTATATGCATAGAAGAATATTTTTCAATGAGAAATTTATCTAGACAAACCGATGTGCATTTGGGTGATGAAGATCACCTCGATCACTTGCAATTGTCTTTCTTTCATTTAGCCAATTATAGTGGTGCACATTCTGCAAAATCATGAAGTCAAGTCTTTTTTCTTCTTTTGCCATACTCTTTGATAAGAAAGCGTTTTCTGTCAATAAATAAACATAACGACATGTCTTTTCTTATCAATTTCGCCAACGTTTCTCCTTCGAAGAATAAACTTGAAGCAGCTCACTGATAAAGGCAAAGACAAATATACATCGAAGACAAGAGTAACAAAATGGTCACGTGGAAAAATTCATCTCTGATACTAACTTGGTGGATTATTTCGATTGTGTTAGTCCATGCTCACATAGATCTTCAACTATGTCCTCAAGATGCCATTACAGTTCGAGATCTAAAATGGCCAAACATATCACCAAGTTTCGAACTTTTTGCTGAACTAACAAGCAACAGTGGAACAGCAGAAATAATCCAAACGTTAAGTAATCAACGAGATGTAGTTACACAAACTGCAAACGGAGGTAATCTTCAAGCTTGATGCTTTATATTCTTCACATATACACATTCGAATACAGTTTTTTTTCAATATTCGAATGGCACTGAGGAGAAAATATTTCAGATAAAATGCATTCCTTAACATCTCTTGATGAAAATAACGAGTAAATTATAGCTTTTAGCTGAAACATTTCAGTCATTAGTCAGATACTTGTTATACTTGTTCTAATGTAGAGACTGTCTTTGAATATTGGTATTTTGATACTAATGAACAATTCGACATTTTAAACGTGGTTACCGAAGGTCAAACTTTGCCTGTTTGTCTTCGTCAAGTGATCGATTCCCTGACAACTACTTCGACTATTCAATCAGCAATTTTTGTCAAGCCATCAGTTCTTCTCGGATACAATGCACGCGATGAGATCAATTCAAATTTTGGTACAAAATTTATTGGAACATCTCAATTGAGATTCATGCCAGTGAATATCTTTGAATCATGCTTTTACTTAAATGATTCGCATGTTACCGTAGCCGTAACCTATTACATGACGGATATTGAAAAATTTCCGAGTTTTGGTTATATCAATGATAGTGTCCCATTGCGCATCGAAGTTCGAACAAAATCAGCACCTGATGGCAATGAAGGAAGCTATTTTTACAATATATTTCGATTTTTGCCTAATCTAACTCCAGAGCAACAACAACAAGCATTGTCAATGCCTGCTGGCGTCTTTTGTTCGAATCAAACCAACACGAAACCATCTCCCAGCAATCTTTCCGATAAAATTTCCATGAATGGAGAAATACTAATTCTATTTGGAAAAGAACTTGCCGCTGAAAGTTTTGATACGATATATGATCGATCATTTCAATTCGCTCAATTCAAATCTTGGTTGAACAATGGTGAACATACCATTGAACTTCATGATTTCGCTACTGGCTTGGTCTATCGTTATTTGACGTCGACACGACAATGCAAAGTATGGACGATCAATTCCAGTATCAGTGATGCTGTACCGCTACCAGGTCAATCACAATTCGTTCAAATGGCGAAACCACTTCATTTATTTCTTTTGGACGATATGAATTTTCAGTATATAGGCTCGAGAGAATGTCATAGTCAAATGCGATGTCATGTGTGGATTGGCGAAAATGCACTATTGAATCGATCTCAATACGAACGTCGTGAATGGTACTGGGCTTATCAATTCAATAATCAGACTATTGAACCTTGGATACCTATTCGTTTGGTCAATACTCGCTTGGATGCGCAACACAAACCGATAGCAGTTATGGAAACCAGTAAGCTCAAATTCAATTTGATTGTATTAATATTGATTCTGTTTTTTTCTCACTAGATATATACAAGTACCAAACCAATCCATTAACTGAATTTGAGGTTGATAGTACAATCGCTGATTGCTATCGTGCTCTTGGGCCTACAGGTTAGTTTATATTTCCCTTTCTGATTACAATTGAGAAATATTATATTGATTGACTTCGGAAAAGTCTTCTTTTGATATTAGCATTGATATTTCACTTTGTCCTCTTTACTACGGATCTATTCTTTATCATATATGTATTTGATGATTCTAGAACAATTCTACTATGGTATTTTCGCATTTGTCATTGATAATCGAAACGAACAACCCGTTCAAAACTATTCCACTTATCTGAAACTAATCGTCTGGCAGTCGCTCATCGAGACCCTCAATATTCGTCCTATTCGCATGTCAAATGTCTTCATTGATCGCAATGGAACCGATTTGATTGTTACGTTCACTTTAGTCGACACTCCACCATTCTATGGTCCTGTTGCAAATCCGCTCAAGGAACCATCGTTAGATGTAGTAGTGACAACTTTGCGAACATTGATTGATACGAAAAATATTAGTTTTCTTTCAATCTATGGTGATTCTCAAGGTGTTCGATTATATCCCAAACCAGGCTCGTTGAATGTCATTGCACGTACTCCAACAACGATACTAACCAATAATATTACGGTGATTGTTTATGAAACTGTGACTAACACGACAAAAATAACTAAACTGATTTCAAAGGAACGCCAAAGTGGAAGCAAAATAACAGCATTTTGGATCGGTTTTCTCGCTCTTGGCATTGTGCTCGGACTCGTAGGAGCTTTTTTCATAGTGCCACGAATCGTCATTGCACGTCGCTGACAATGATTTCCTACGTCAGTGAACATTATCATTTGACTTTTGTATTCTTTTTCTGTACAAGGATACTGCTGTGTGATATTTAGAAAAAAGAAAGTGATTAGACCAAACGTTCAGTCAGATAGGAGTGTCGGGTTCGTCTTTCAACGCGTGTGAAAGTGGAATCTAGAGGATTTTTTTATAATCTCGAAGATATTTCAGACAATGGTGATGGCTGCTCGTGGCATTGAGCATAATGAAAAAGTTAACAGTATTTGATGAAGAAGAGAACATCACCGTTATATTTATGACTTAATCCATATAAGAACTCTAAGAGATGTTAGGTATTATAAAAATAACCATGTGTCATGCGTTTCTTCGATCTGTTCTACTTCTAAGAACTTTTGTTGACTGATATGTATTAATAGTTTTTTCCGAAAATAGTCCTATTCGAAAAAGTATACATATCTTATTAGTATGCATCATCCGCTGTAAACATGGAAAAGAAAAGATTAACAATCTAGCTTTTGTCTAGTTTTTTTTGCCACAAGTAAAAATATAAACGTCATTATGCTTTATATGGTTTGACGTCAAATTTTGATTCGTCTAAGGAAGCGTAAATTATGTACTCATAACTTCATCAAAACAGCTTCTCTGCTCTATCCTCAGGAAACTTTGGCACACATTTTATTTAAATATCTTGAAACGAAGACTCCATTCGCTACGTTGAAACACTTCGATGGAAACGAATTCAATGATTCAGCTATATTAAATTAGGAAGCCGAATAAAAGTGAAATCGGCGACTCTAAAGAAACGATTCGTAAGTGCTCTACATCTTATCTATATCAACATTATCTTTTGACAACAATACTCGCGCATTTTCTGTTCTGCTCATCACACCTTTTAACATATAGTTTCACTTTCATTTTATGCTGACATCATCGTTGAAAAAGATACACTACTTCATATAAACTTATTTTATTGCGGCTGAAATATTTATTTCAGAATCATGTTCATACTCAAGATTTTTGCATTGTTACTGACGTTGATTGTTTGTACCTCTCGAGGACAAGACCCTGAATGGAATGGTGATCCGAAAATATGTTTACCTGATCCAACGCCACCATCTTCTAGCATACCATTACCAAAGTTTCCGGACCAAGCTCAATTCATTATGGAGACGATTTCTTTGACACGAGTGAACAATGACGTGGGACATCCCACCGTTACTGTCGTTCAATATTTCTACGACTATAATGCGAATATAATGGCGCTCCAAAAGAATCGATTAGGTTTTGTTGAACTAGAATACTACTACTACAATCTATTGAAGAAAACGACCTACTTTCCACAAAAGCATTGCGTAGTCACAGATATTCCAGTGAACATCGACAACGGTAAGTATACAGGTGTAGATGGCTTTGCTTGATAAAGTTTGCTTTTCCGTGATCGAAAGTCGTTAGACATCAATTTTACAAAATTAATTTCTTTGGCAACGTCATCAAAATCTTTGGCTTATGAAAAACTGCGCGCTTCCTATAAAAAATCTACTTTCGTTAACCAATCGAATACGTATAACTGTTGTTTTTGTTTGTAGATGGTGGATCGGCTATTCAATTTCCTAATGGAACCTACCATATTCGACTTCTGTCAGAGTTTATACAATTTTCTAGTTCAAATACTCAACAACCGGTCGTACCCAAATACATTGGTTCTGGTGTTTTTCGAGATATGCCTGTCGATCAGTGGGAAATTTGTATAGTCGACAAGCAGAGTAAACGAACGGAGCGACGGGTTTGGTCTTTCGTCAAGTCCGAATTCCAAACGAGTGTAGGTTCTGCACTTAATATTTCTATCCCATTGGGATATGTAATGAATGCTTCGATCGTACCGAACGACGGTTCAACAAACTTGGAGTTCAATGAAATCATTAGTATCGTTTCTTTCAAGCCACAAATCATGGAAAAGTCTGATTTATTTGCACCTCCTAAAGGTAGTTTCTGTCCAAATATGGTATCCGACTTGGTTAGTCTATCAGATTCAGGCATCGAATGGCCTCTACGTTACACCGTTCGCATCGCTACTACGACATCCCGAGGTGTTCGTACTAATCCGTTGCGTTTACGTGTCGATAATAATGCGGACACGAAACGAGCTCGCTTTGATTACATGCTCGACGATGAGAATAATTATGAAACAGTTATAATCGACTATCGAGAACAAATCAAATATGTGATTGATCAAACGCATGGTCTTTGCGAAATAATCCAAGGTGTCAATTGGCCTGATGTCAATCCAGAATTGAACCCGATAGAGTTCTTTCTCAAACTGAAAGAGACTATGCTCGATCAACCGCCAAAAAACTCTTGGCAATACAGAGGCACTCGACGTAATTATCAATTGTTTTTATTAGAACATTGCAAAAAGAAGTTCTTTTTCGGAGATATCGAGTTGAGAAGGAAATTTCAAAGGCTTTCACCAAACATTGTCAGCAATTATTTTTCATAGATTAACAAAATCTTCTACCTACGATTCACTTTTGATAGAATAGATCAATTTGATTGAATAGCGGACGCAAAATAGAACACAGAGTATGAACAATGAGACATAAATATGTTCTATCTACTTTAGTTTGCCGTGGTTCGACAATGCACTGTGTAATTTACACCATTTTAATGCCTAATTATCCACCGATGATCAATCCAGCAACGGGTATGCCCAGTGGTCAGAGTTGGGATGAGACGCACATTGAGTATGCCTGGTCAAAGCGTGATTCGATTTTTACTCTACCAGCAGACAAACCTAAGGTCTTGGACTATCCGGTGTCACTTTTTCTGAGAACCTATCAAAGGACTGCAACTTCGACAGGCACAGAATATCGTTCTGAAGAAATCGAATATGAATTCTTTGAAATGTCCACCGATTTACCCAATGATGGTTTCGATGTCAGCGTTTGCTATCGTTCTCGCGATTGGCCCTATCTACATCTCGCATTTACAGTCAAGTTGAATAAAGGTAATTTGGCCGACAGCAATCACCTCAATCGCAAAGAGTTGTACGATCGTTTTCTTCTCACGCTCCAATCAGCCATGACACCGATAAGTTTGACACGCATTCATCAATTAGAAATCGATCATGATATTACTTCAGCTTCTGATATACTCTATGTCATGTTTCTTTTGCTTGGTTCTACTCCAACAGCTGATCGAATACTGGGCAATGTATCATTGACAACACCAAGACCTGTTAATGAGTTCAGTGTTGAAATGGCTCGCGAACAACTTAGAAGTGCGATTAATAATGGAAATTTCAATATCAATGTGCAGTTGTTAGATGATGATCGATCAAACGTCACTTTTACAGCAGTGCCTGATTCTCTTCAAAACGCTAGAGAATTTCTCTCCTCGCATCCCTTGATTTTCAACGTAGGAAATGCAACAGTGTCGGAGACCCACGTGATCAATATGACCAATACGATTGTACAAACTATAGCCGTATTCGAAGAGAAAATCGAATGGAAATGGTCATCAGGGGCTCAGGCGGACGGCATCGTTGGAGGTCTCTTGATTGGCATATTAGTTGGTATAGTTATCATTTTGATCGTAAATTTATTGCTGAAAAAAACATCGCCGTCAACATCGACAATGGTGCCCATGGTACCCATTACCAACATCAGCTATGGCAACAAACAAGGAACAGTGATTGACAATCCAATAACTGGGGCTACACAGTCGAACTTGAGTAGCTCAAATGCTTGAGTAACTTGTTTACTTTAACAGTATAATATGTTTTTTTTAATCAAATCTTTCGTAATAATCAACAATAATTTCAGCCCACAGTGTATAATAACATAGAGAATAAGTTTTGACTGGCATCAGGAGTCATTGCTGATTTGATGGATGCTTTTTTTCTGTGTTGAACACATGGTCAATCCAAAAAAATGTATAGTCATGCAGGGTTATGCAGACTGGCAGATATCTTGAGGGATTGCATACGTAAGTATGATATGGCTGACAGAGAAAGCATCTAAATTTGTAACTAAAGGATAGGTACTTCATTTTCTTTACTTCTGTAACTATTGATGATGGCTATTGAAGTGATCGGTTGTAACAGATATAGCAAATAACATTCACAAGTTGATACTCCTTGTTCATTGAAGCATTCTGCACATAGACATACTTATTTGAAAGATTGTTTAATATTGATTCCATGAACAGTAACGATGTGATCGAATAGATCAGAATCTGATCGGTTAAACTGGAAGGAGTTATCTTGACTTGATTCTTCTTCCACTGAATCAGACACTATTTCGATACTAGTAACTGCTACAGTGACCATCACGATAACGGCTTC